GCAGCCCACATGGACAGTTTGGATTGGATTGTACAGGTAAAATTATCAGAGCCCACACCCATAAAGCCAGGGGGTCATCATAATAAGTGATATTACTGATGTGGTGTACTGTTTTTACACAGTCTACACTGTGCAGAGCAGGACCAATATTCTGGCATGAGCTGCATGGGCTGTGTGATCACAGACAACATCTCGGTACTATTTAGTAGCAGCGCACGCCCCTTGTAATAACCCCCGTAAATACTGTTGTTCAGGACTGCTTACTTGTGCTTCCTACCTACTGTAACAACCGTTGTTCTAGCCCACATGCAACATTTTTGTTCTCATTCATGAAACGCTTAAATCGGGGACATTTTCAGGGACAGATCATCCAATTTGGGGACTGTCACCTGACTGTGATAATGGCATCAAAGATTAATTTTCTGCCAGCATTCCCTCCGTGCTTTTGCAGCAGCAACGGTGTTGCTTTTGAGGTTGATGATAGCTGTGAATTCTTCATACTTTCTCATGATCGTCTCCTGTTCCTCGTTTGTAAAGTCCACGGTCCTTCACTCTCCAGCCTGCTCTGACGCTCCAGACTGATCCATGTTCGCGATTGGTCAGATGCGGCGGGCTCCGCCTTATATGCGTGCACGCGCTCATAGCAAAGCTGGATCCACTTATGAGGTTGATAACCAGCGTCGTAAAACCGCTTAGCGAGACCGCTGGCTACCGCGCTAAGTTGAGCGAGGTAGCTCCAAGGCTACCTCGCTAGGTTGAACTTGCTCATTAGAACAGGCCCCTGGTCTCCTCACTGTTGGGTAACTAGACCTGCAGTTCATGGGCATTGACCCCCTGCTATTCTGTCCACCACTTTTGCTAAAGAACTTGCCGTGCCTCCATCTCTCAGTGCCTTGGTGTATGTGCTTGGTTTGTGGTTGAGGGCTACCACACATGGATCTTTTTCTCTGCCTTAGACCTCAGGAGTAAGGGGGTGCCCTGATTGGTTCCTCCGGAGACCTTTCCAAGCTCATGTGTATGGTCCCATAAGTCTATCTCATAGCAGTCATTATTTTTCACCCCCTGTACCTGAATGTGTCATATCCAGAGGCCCTGGATTTGCTCTATATTAGGCTTAGGGTTAGTTTCAAATGCACTTTCAAAGCATTTGCCATCGATGATGATCCAACGCTAGTGAGTTTAATATCCTGTTCGCTGTTTCCTGGAGATTTCTCTGGTAACTTTCAGCCCTTTCACAGAGGATGGAGAGTAGATTAACAACTTTCACTAGTTAGTTTTTTAAAGTTTACATGGAGATGGATGAAAAACAGCATGGAGCTATTCCCATTATAACTTCTAAAAAACTATTATCACCAGTCCTAGCCACTTTCTACTAAGTTCACTTTGCTTTAAGCTGGGGGAAAAAAACAACAACATAAAAAACAAAAACACAAAAGTAGAAAGAAAATAACTGCAAATCCAAATGCTCCAGCAGGCCTGTGGTAATGGCCACTTCTGCTGAATACTAAAGACAGTGTGTGAACAAAGAGAGCAGCGGGCTGGTTGGTTTGTTTCTCCAGCTCAGGGCGGCAGTGATAGCTTTATCACCCTGCTAAATCAACAAGAGCGAAGACAGGCTCAAGATGTCTGCAAAAGACGTCCAAGGTTTCACTTTACATGTCCTGCAGCAGACTGCTGCATGATTTTACTGCCCCTCAATCTTCTTTGTGAAACAGGCTCAGTATTGTCAAGCAGCTCCTGCTCTCAGAAAGAGTAAGCACCAATAAGCTTTATTTTCTTCATCCATGTTTACCTGGCTCACAAATTTCTGCTTGAGCATTAGGGTGGAGACATCTATCATGTTTTTTCTGAAAAACAGATAAAGTGTTCAGACTTCAGACATTGAGATTTGAGCCGTGCCAGATGGAAACATGTTCACATCAGCCTTCTGAGAGCAGAAACTACATCAGTAGCCATGTTTGAGGCAAACAACCTAATCAGAGAGCAGCCTCTAGATCCTCACAGCACTCTCTGACAGAGCTGCTTATAATCACATCAGTGTAATAGTCTGCTGCTGCTGAGCTACAAAAAGAGGATTTGAGGAACAGAACAGAGCTCCTCACTGTAATAAGATAATGTGTGGGAACCTGCAGACTTCTCTCCTCATTTTAAAGGCTTTTTTACTCTCTCAAAGGCTTCCGGTCAGCTTTATATCGCCTAAGAGGAGGTGGAAAATGAGCCAACAAAGAGTGCTGTGATAAAGTGACAAAAACTCAGGTTTGTTTCTGTGAATGTCTTTGTTAAGAAGCTGTTGTGTATAAATATAAAACAGCATCTGTTTTCAGGCAAAATGGGCAGGAATTTAGAGTGTTAATTGATGCATCAGAATATGATACCAGATATACTGTCAATGATGCTTCAAATGTTTCCAATGTGGGACAAGTCAGGACTGCAGGCAGACCAGTTTTTCAGCAGGACTCTTCTCCTACAGCGCCATGCTGTTGTAATCCGTTGTCAGAATGTGGTTTGTCATGGTCTTGCTGAAATATGAAGGTCTTCCCTGAAACAGTCTTTCTCTGGATGGCAGCAGATGTTGCTCCTAAACCTGTAGACATTGTTCAGCATTAATGGAGCCTTTACAGATGGCTTACATGTGTGCTTGTTCCTCTAAAAACTTTTTTAATTCACTGTAAAACCCGATGAGAAGGTTCAACTCAAATGACTTGAGGAAACCGCCTTGGATTATTTAAGTATTTTAACTCATGTTTTTAAATGATGAAAAACTGCTTAATTTGAGTTTAAGTAACTTTATTAAAGTTATATATTTAAAGTTATGGTGACTTGGTAACTAGTTCATCTTTTTAATTTAATTAAGTTAATAAAAATGAAACCGTATATTATTTTATACTCATATGAATCATTTTTCTTCATTCATAACTTAAACTAATCTAGTCCATACAAATACAACCTTTGAGTTGCACGTACTCAGTCTTCAACTGCAGCAAATTATTAGATTGTCATTAAAACAACTTATGGATACTCAATTCAACTGAGGAAACCGAAAATTCCCTCATGTTCTCAGTGTATAATTCTCTATTATCACTTTTCAGTGTCTCCTGTTTTATTTTGTAGAAGCTTATTCCCTGTGTTTCTAGTCTTGTTTTACTTCCTCAGTTTTCCCTCCTCTGTAATTTTCTGCACCTGTGTCTTAGGCTGTGTCTTATTTCAGAGACCGCATCAGGCTAAGCGCACTTAGCTGAGCGCACTGCTGTAATGTGGACTTAAGTACCCTGAGTGAGATGGTCCGCTTTTTGTGAAATGGGGCTGTGTCCGAAATGGCATACTGCCTACTATCTACTTACCTACTCAAGCAGTAGCTACTGCCTACTGACTACTCAAAGATGATTTGAGTATGCCGCGGCTGCCCGAGCGTTTACATACAGATGCATACTAAATACCCCAGAATGCATTTCGTGCCGGCCGGACGCAGCGCCGGGAAAATTTAAATAATCCTACCACAAGCTACACAGAACGACTGCATTCCGGACAAATTATATAAATTCATTCAATAATAATATTTTTTTTAGCGAGAAAGTAAGTGTTTACATCACGATTATGAGCCCAGTCGTTTGAAATGGTGGCTGTTTGTAAATTTGTCTCGGCGTTTTCGGAGACTGAAGTGTCTGCTTGGTGGGTGTTTGCGTCTATTTACCGTAAACACCGGGCAGCAGCAGCTCCCCCTTCACGTTTCCAAATTATTGCCAAGTGTTTTCATAATCAACACCTACACGATACAAACCGGGCGGCAGTGGATGAAAAAAATCACACAAACATCTGTGTATCCATGGTGATAATGCTATACACCACCTGCTAGGCGTGTGATGAGCAGCAGAGGGCTGCAAAATGACCAACACACAACATAATTATTATGACCTTGTTCGGTTATTCCTTGGCAAATACATCATTTCCCGACTTCATTCTTTTCATGTACAATGATAATTTCAGAAACCATCAGATTTTCAATCACAAGTAAGAATTAGTAAAGCTCACATACATTGTCAACTGGAAACTCCCCCGTTTGTATATTCTGAACCATGTGCTCTCTACCAATAATAATTTTTATTAATCAGAGGTCTGTGCTTAATATGAGTGACCACTTTGATGATGCATTCAGAGATGAGAAGATGCTCAAACTTGATGTAATAAATACATCTTTAATAGACACTTAAATAAATAAAGTCAATTCATACGAATAGTTAAAAACATTACCTATAATCCTAATTTAAAATACAAATAAATTTGGTAAAAAGATCAAAATATGATAAAATGATAAAAATTGTGTAATGTGTACTGACTTAATATTGTTTATCTATTTATATATATATATAATTATTATTGCAGTCACATGCCATCTATTTCTTTTCAGCCTCGGGAAAGAGGGCCGTATTACCAGCTGAGGTGCGCAATGCATTGTGGGGCAGAAGCAGTACGTGAAGCAAGCTCCGTTCCACACTCAGAAATCGAAGCCGATTGAGTATACATCCGGGCATTTCTCGCATACACAAAATTCGCATACTGTACAGTGTGAACGCACTGCCTACTCAATTCAGAGGCGGGGTTGGTAGGAGTAGTAGGAGTAGTATGCCATTTCGGACACAGCCTGTGCCACCGAGCAAGGCGGCGACAGAGGCGACTTATATATTCTTTAATGAAACTGCGCGCCGAAAGTGGAGAGGTAAACCTGTTATTTTATCTGGCATTCATCAGCCACACAATAGTTGTGCCATTGTCACTTCCTGTGTATCACGTGAATTCCCCCTTTAATTCACAACAGTGAATGTCATGGAAATCTTCATAGGTGTCAGAAAATACTAGTTTGTTTACTGACATCAGCTGAAAAGCTAACATTGGCTGTTAGGGGAATAGCAAGTACATGAGACATTAACCTGCACAATTCACAATCATTGCAAGTGACATCCATGCCATGACTGTTCTTCCCTTGTTCTCCTGCTCTGTTCCTAATGCAGACCCGACCCCTGAACTGCAGATTAAACACAGAGGTCCCGGTCCTCCGGCGGTTTTTCGCCGGCACTGACACCAGGGAGGACTTAAGGCTGAGCAGAGAATCCCTGGCAGTGCTGCTGGACCTCCTCTATCAGGAGCGGAGGCATGGATGGGGCGCCACCATAGAGACTCTGGTTCTACTTTTTTGGCTGGCCAGTGGGGCATCATACAGGGTGGTCTCAAGGGTGTTTGGGATTCCCCGCTTCACTGTTCACCGCATCGTCCACCGAGTTACGGAGGAGGTAGTGGCCATTCGTCACAGGGTCACCTACCTCCTGAGCTCCACTGACAACCTGGCGGCCGTAACTCGGGGGTTTGCAGGGCTGGCTAGGCACCGCGCTTTTCTCAAAGCTGCTGGTGCAATCGACGGCTGCCATGTCCGAAGTAAGCCACCAGGCGGTCCTGATGGTCACTGCTACATAAACAGGAAACTGTTTGCTTCAATCATAATGCAAGCAGTCTGTCTCCAGCACCCACTTCCCCTCATCACTCCCCACAAGCTGCCGGTGTGAAGTGTGGCAGCCCAGCGCTTTTACGGGCATCATGCCAGGGCACTCTCTGTTATTGAGTGTGCCTTTGGCATGATGAAGACCCGCTTCTGTGCCATATTTTTAAAAGCGCTGGAGATCCACCACACCTTCATGCCACAGGTACATCATCACTGCACACAATATTTTTGTTATACTTGAGTATATGTTAATTAATTTATTAAAAACATGAAAACTTATTATATATTATTATACTTATATTGTTATACTTTTTTATTTATTAAAGGTCTATATACTTTATCTTCTTATAAATATTCCTCTTAAATTCAGGTCTTCACCGCTTGTGCCATCCTGCATAACAGCTGCCTGGGTGCCGGTGACACCATGGCATCAGAAGAGGATATGCGGGACGGCATGCCAGGGGATGAGGTGGAGGATGGGCTGGAGGCAGTCAGTGGTGCCCGCTGGCGGGACAGATTGTCTGCAGAGGTGTCGGCCCTGGAGGAGGTAAACCATGACCATGACTACCTGTAATTGGCAAGTACAATACATCTTTAGTTTCTCCTCTGTGTGGCACAGAATGTTTGTTGGTTACTGATCAGCTTTTTAGACCTCAGAAGATGCAACTTAAAACTTGTTGGACTCTGTTAGCCTACTCTTGTCTCTCTCTTTAAAACGGGCATGGCAGCCATCGAACCAGCCCTGCAAACCTGGACAATGTGGAGGACAGTGGAGACATGCAGCCCAAACACCCAGACCACCCACATGATCTCCCACTGCCAGTAGTATGAATAGACTGGAGACAGTGTAAGCAACTTCAAATTCTTTAATAAATTAAATGCAATTATTAAAGTAAAATAATACAAAAAGTCCATTCAAATAAAAAATTCTTAACAAAAATAAGTGTGGATACTAGAAAAGCACTCGGAGAGCGCAGACCTCCGCCAAGCAGCTCACAGTATCCGGAATTTTGTCTGGATCAGGATCAACCTTTGACACCTCATAAAACTCATTGAGATCCTTTTGTGTGATTTTTTACTAAAGACTCTGGCCCTTTTTAAAGAGTTAAATGCAAAAATTCCTAAATTTGCCCTATCTCAAAGTGATAAAGAATCCTTTAAAAAATTCCTGGATCCAGAAGGCGATCCGGATCACCACCAAAATGTAATGGGATCCTCCTGGGGCTGAGATGCACCTCTGGTGAAAATTTCAGGTCAATCCGTCTGCAACTTTCTCCGTAAAGTTGCTTACAGACAAACAAACTAACAAACAAACCAACACTACCAAAAACATAACCTCCTTGTTGGAGGTAATAATAGTAACATAAACAGAAATCAACTTAATTGCGGTCAACCATCTTTTTGAGTAAGGCCAGCATCCGCTCCATCCGCTCCTGGCTTCTGGCCTCAGCTTGTTGCTAGTGTCTGATGTCCTTTCTTCGTGAGAGGCCGAGAGTGTGTGGACCCAAAAGCAGAGGACGTGAGGCAGTTGTTCAGTTCCAAAAAAGGCAAACTCTTTTAATCCAACAAAAACCCGGCAGGGTCAAAATCAACAGAGCAGCAAATAATCAGGCGACAAAACCAGTGGGGCAGGCAAGAATCAGAAGTCCAGGGCGATCAAAACAGGTCATACACAGAGAGCAGAGAAATAGCAAAAACGCGAGAGAGCTTGTACGAAGGTGACAAAGACAATCTGGCAGGGAAGCGCTAGTGAGGAGGGGTTAAATAGAGTAGGGGACAAGACACAGGTGAAGCCAATGGAGTAATTAACTCAGGCGGGAAAAAGAACAAAGACCGGAAGTAAAAGTAACAGCAACACAGGGAAAACAGGATCTTCAAAATAAAACAGGAAGTGGATTCAACAAAACACAGATCATGACACTCTCAGCTGAGCCAGGAGCGGATCGGATGCTGGTCTCCTCTTTCTTTTCCTCCCCCTTGGGCGAGGTTGTCGTGTAGTGTCCTTATCATACTCGTCCTCCTCTTGACTGAAAAATTGTTTAATAACTAGCAGGGAGGGAAACCAATACATTCTTCATGACCCAATTTTCAATGTTAAGCAGCATCATAAAAACCTTCACATACTTTATATTTTCTTTTTAAAGTCTCCCACTTCCTCTTTGCCTTCAGGGGTGTCACTTTATTTAACAGCTGGAGCTCTGACAGTACAGCTCTTGTCACAAAGAGAAGTGAGACAAAAGGTTAATATATGTCACATTCACACACAAGTGCACAAAGATTCATAACCAGTCACATGACCTATAATTTAAAATACTAAGGGCAGATATAACTTAATGAGCATTTGGTGTTCCTTACCTCCATCCAGCAGCAGCTGAATTTTTGGCTCCGGTGAAGAGGTGCTCCCTCTCCCCCCAGAGCCGGATGAATTTATCAGTCAACTCTCTTGTCCCTGCAAAAACATAAGTGTGATCCTTTTTAATGTGTATATCTGGATGGATAACAATGCAGGCACACAGTGCCAACATTTGTATTTTGAATCCACACATGCATGTCAGATCAATTGTCCAGGCTGATGGATGGCCATCATGCACTTCATAAAGAGGTTTGACCTTTACTCCTTCTTTATCAGGGCTCACTGCTGATAAAGCAGTGGGCCCTCAAAACTGTTAGCAAAACCCTCAAAACTGTAAGGGTTTTTCTAAATATTATTAATAAATCTAATAACATCATTACTTTTACATCACTTATCTAAACAAGGTTGCAAAGTGCTCTACATGTAGAGTAAAAACAAATAAACAAACATCGGCTACATATCAGATTCTGGTATGACATAAACAGTGCTAAAACACACACCACAGTAATTTAGACCTGAGTTGTTCATGTTTCTGCATTGTACTTGCAGTATCTAGTTTGCAGCATATTTGCCCCATACACATTTATATCATCCCCTGGCAATACTTTAAACTTGGGGAATTGAAGTGGATGTCTAGTACCAACACTACAATTTGCAACAGTCGGCATATGCGTTGCCTGCACAGTTTCAACGGGGCAAAAGGGCTGATTTAACACACACGGGCATCACCCTGAAACCATCTAACCATCTTTTACAAAGATTTAGAAATGTTCACAATGTCCTTTTGAGGCTTTGCTTCACCTGTTGACATGAATTTAAATCCAGTACTTACATGTAAACGCGGGACCGCTGGATTTGCCTGCCATGATGCAAACATCTTTGCTGTGTGCAGGTGCGCTTTTATGTGCATCTGACGTCTCACCCGAATGGTGCACCTGTGCAGTGGCATGCAAAGAATTCTGGGATACCAATGGCACGAAAGCGTGCATAAATGCACGCTTGAAAAAGGGGCGGGGGTAGTGTGGTTTTGAGACCGAATTTGAAGCACGCTTAGCATTTTGTGCCAAATGGGACACCGTTTGTGCCGCGTGATGACCTCATGCACACTTCAAATGCGCCGTTTGACAGTGGAGTCTCTGAAATGAGACATGGCCACAGTGTCTCACCTGCCTCTTGTTGCTCGTTTTCCTGTGTGTGTATATATACAGTCCTTGCCCCCCCCTGTTTCTTTGTTGGTTCATTGTTTGTGAATGTTTGTCGTTGCCTCTGTGTAACTCCAGTGTCTCCTCTTGGTTTTTTCCCCTCGTGATTTTTCTTTGTTTTTGGATTTTGAGTTGGACACTTAGAATTAAGTTTTTGTTGTTTTAGTTCCTTTTTAAATAAATCTGTTTTTGATCTGTAATTTGGGTCTTTACCCTTTTTGTTTTACTCCTGAACGTGACATGGTTGGTCTCTAAAGGAACTCCAACAGGCACCACTTCTCCATTAATGACTGCCACCGAAGCCACTGCTGCTTCTGTTGCCACCGACTCATCCAAAAAATAAAAGATGTGTTTAACATGACAAGGGTAAATAACTCTTATTAGTCTCTGCAATGTCAACACGGTAGCTGTCCAGGCAGCTGCAGACGGTGCTTGCTAGCAGAGCTGGCGTTTACTGCCACTAGTCACTAGAAATCCAACATGGTGAATCCTATTTGAAACTAGTGTAGGATCATCTGCTGGCCAGCTTCTTGCTCTGCCCCAGGGGCTGTGTCATGGGGAGGGTGATGCAGGTTCGGGGGGGGGGTGGGGGGTCAGGGGAGAGGTTTGTGTGTGGGGGGTGGGATGCTTTTTTCAAATCTACAACGGCTCAATTTTTTTTAAGTGCTTCTTCAATATCAACCATGCCTTTAAGACTTAGTATCTCATAATTCTTACTCATATTTTTGACTTCCAGATCTTGAGTCACTAACTCATAATTTCAATTCTTTTTGTCTCATAATTTTGACTTCTATAAAAAAAACAAATTACATTGTAATTTTTATGTCTTTCTGTCAACAATGGCTTTCTTCTTGCCACTCTTCTATAAAGGCCAGATTTTAGGAGTACACGACTTATAGTTGTCCTGTGGACAGATTCTCCCACCTGAGCTGGGGATTTCTGCAACTCCTCTAGAGTGACTATGGGCCTCTTGGCTGCTTCTCTCACCAGTGCTCTCCCTGCTCGGTCTGTCAGTTTAGGTGGACGGCCAAGTCTTGGAAGGTTTGCAGTTGTGGCATACTTCTTCCATTTTTGGATGATGGATTGAACAGTGCTCCTTGAGATGTCCAAAGCTTTGGATATTTTTTATAACCTAGCCCTGCTTTTAAGTTCTCCACAACTTTTTTCCTGACCTGTCTGGTGAGTTCTTTGGTCTTCATGATGCCCTTTGTTGAATAGTGTTCTCTAGCAAAGCACTGAGGCCTTCACAGAACAGTTGTATTTATGCTGATACTAAATTACACACAGGTGGACTCTATTAACTAATTAGGTGACTTCTGAAGGCAATTGATTGCACTGCATTTTATTTAGGGGTATCAGAGTACAGGGGGCTGAATACAAATGCACACCACACTTTTCAGGTTTTTATTTGTTTAAATTTTTGAAAACCATGTATCATTTTCATTCCACTTCACAATTATATGCTACTTTGTGTTGGTCTATGACAAAAAATCGCGATAAAATACTTTTAGGTTTGTGGTTGTAGAGTGACAAAATGTGAAAAAGTTCAAGGGGTATGAATACTTTTTTAAGGCACTGTAGCTGCTTGGTGTGCATCTCCTTTCTCAGACACTGGAATAAAATATTTAGGTGTAAGAATGAGTCTGCTTGAAACTTTGTATGCAACCAACTTCATGTGGTCAGTTAGATGACACACAGACTTCACTGTATGGCATTTTTTTAAATGTTCTCTTTGCTCATATGATAGCAAATGCTAAATGTACCAGGTCTCACATACTTTCAGAACAAAGACGATTTCATATTTTTGTTTGGATCTCTTTTAACTCAGGCAATGCTTTAGGCAAACTTTAGACAAGTTACCCACAAGCTGTAGCTACTGTTCTTTCAACTTGAGCTTTTGCTTAAGCATAAAATCACAATAATTGTTAAAAGCATAAAACAGCATGCAAAGCATTTAATAAAGTAGCAACCTTACCTTGAATATAAAACCAAAATTAATGGCCAACAGCTGTCCCGCTTCCCTCTATGATTCAAAATGAAAATGGCCGTTAAACTAGGCATGGCATGTGTCAAAGGTGCAGCAGGGTTTCCTACCCACGTAAGCAGGGCTTTCAACGTAAGTTCATGAAAGCAACTCAACTTGAAACAGTTGATGTAACAAACTTGTAAAGTACTTGAAATGCTCTACAATTTTATGAATACTCAAAACAACCTAATTGACACCTCAGTTTTTAACTTTCAAGTAAGATCAATTTTATAGGGATGAGTGAC